GAGAAGGAAGTAGTCATTCCAAGTTGACTCACCCTTTGGTGAGCCACCCGAGGGTAAAATTTAGAGAAGGATGTTGCCATTTCAACTTGACTCACCCTTTTGTGGGCAAGGCAGGGGTAAAATTTAGAGAAGGAAGTGGTCATTCCAAGTTGACTCACCCTTTGGTGAGCCACTGGAGGGGCAAAATTTAGAGGAGGAAGTGGCCATTCCATCTTGACGACCCTTTTAGTGAGCAAACATGCGGGAAAGGGCCTGTGTGCGCACTTGAGTCTCCCCGATGGACTGTGTGCGCGCATGAGTCAAATCTGTGTGCGCAGATGAGGCGCAAGTGCTAACAAAATGTGTGTGCGCAGATGAGTCAAATCTGTGTGCGCAGATGAGCCGCCGCCCTTCCAATAAAGCCCCGCGACAATTACATTCTTCACTAAGCCCCGTGGCAATTACATTCTCCACTAAAGCCCCGCGACAATTACATTTTCCAATAAAGCCCCGCGACAATTACATTCGTTAGCATAAAAATAAAAACCCTCAGCATAAAAATAGAAACCCTCAGCATAAAAATAAAAACCCTCAGCATTAAAAAAGACCGTTAGCATAAAAAAAAGAACCCACCCAAATCCAGCATTAAAAAAAGAACCGTTAGCATAAAGAAAAAAAACTATTCCCCATGGTTTTTCCTGAAGCTTCCAAGACAAGGGCAGGGCTTTGGGTGATTCAGGATGCGCCAGCACACTCATCCATGCTACATCGCCTTGCGGAGTGCTATGTCGGAGCTGTTTGTGGGTCAGGCACGTTGAGTCGTTTGTGTATCAAGTCGTTTGTCGGACACTTTAGAATCACCACCTGCTTTGGACATCATTTTATCTTATGTCTTGAACCACAAGGAGCTGCTATAGGGAGATTGGACACGTCATGTATATGAATCTAACGATTCGATTCAGCTCTTGCATTTGTGTCTTGTGACGCCACCTGGGAGAGTGATCTAGAATCTAAAGCGCCCTCGGATGATGGGTCCTGATGGGGAACTCAATCTTTGGAGGATCTGTTCGGAGGATCCCCAAGTTCAGGTCATATTTCCGCATAGGATCGACTTGAGGTAAGAAGCGGAAGAAACGCAGCATAGCGCAGCCATGTAGCCAACTGATTTTCTGGGTCAACACCATCGCCTCGCTCCTCGCTGGAGCGCCCTCGAGTGGGTGTTGCGAGAGTGGGTTCGCACCGATCGACGCGGAGTTCCTGCGTTTGGAGAATGTATGGGATCAGATTTCCAGCCATATGACCAGATGAAGGATGGAAGTGGAAACTGAAATGTTCTACAAGTTGTTGACCATCCGTTGAACAGTTTTCCCCTTTTTTAGAACATCAATCAGTTCACCTGCTTTTGGTCCTAACTTATCCAATAAGGCCATGTAAGGCCAACATAGGCCAACATGGTGGACAGACCTAGATAAGTTATAAGTCGTGATAAGATGTTGCATATTGTCCAACACGTACAATTGTTAAGAGGCAATCTCGATGCAGGTGTAAGTACTCGCAAGACTCAAGACCTTCGCTTGTCGCAATCGAATCTGTGCACTCTCGTGGTGTCTGTCACACTTGCACTCGGTGAAGCGCCATGAAACAGCTTTTGTGCAGAGTTTTGTGAAAGGCGGGTTGACACACTCTGAGAGACCTCTTTGGGAGGACCTGTGGCTCTCACAGTCTGCAACCCCGCGCCCGCGCTGCTCAAGCGCCGAGACTCCCGGTCCGCGCAACCCCTGACAAGCCGACCCCCCAGGCTGTTTTTTTTGCTTTTTGGGACACTGGACAAGGTGGTGCACCTTTCAGACCATTTGAGGGGTCATCACCCAAATTCTCAGCCTAGACAATGTAGTTAGAGAGGTAAGAAATCGATGATAACATAGATTGCTATGAAGCCGGAATATGCGGGATGTATCTACCTGATGTGTTCATCGTCCTAATTTCAGCATCCATTTATGTGTATATTATATACACACACACACACTTCATCTCGTCCCCACCGCATGTATTTCTGAGTCAGACTGGTTCTTATGTTGTCAGTTCAAGTTCCAAGGCTTCACTCAAAGTCAAAGTAACAACAAACTCAGTGTTGCTTGATATAGACTGTATACTATACTCACTGAGTCACCTGAGTCACCATGATGCACCTGATCACTGAGTCTGGCCGACAAGTCGAAGATTTGTTTGTAAACTCCGAGCCATTGCAAACAGCAGTGTCCAAAATGACGGCCAACAACGCGCACGATTGGGGGCTGCTCCGATGGACCGATGGAGCTGCTCGGATGGACCGATGGAGCGTCCCCGTGGAAACGGATAGAAAAGGACGCGCGTGTGTCAGGCGCCATGGCCCTTCAGCTAGCAATGATGGTCAAGCCACAGACGAAAGCCGGATTTTAAGCCACATTCTCGGTCTTGTTTGTTCGGTGGTATTTACAATTGATTCGTTGAAGCAGGGACATGTTGTTTTTCTACCGGTGCCTTTGGTTATGCCGGTTCTGGTAAAGAAGGAAGGCATCGATTGAATCCGTCGAATCGATCCTATTTAAAATGTAGTAGGGATTCACCATGATAGTAGTCATGGTAGTACCGCTGACGGTGAATAAATAGACCACCCCTGGGCCTCCAACATGTGTTCTTGAACAGTCCTGCCCATATGAACAGTGGACTCAATTGTTAGAAATTGTGAGTTTTGTGACCATCCTGGGGATGTTCATCTCATGATCGAACGGGGGGGGTGATACAAGTCTCTCGTCTCAAAGCCTTTGAGGTGTCAGGACGTGGGAGGATACGAATCCGAATCCAAGGGTTGTGAGTTCGATGAGTTGTACGAAACAACGAACGTAACACATGGAAGTGGACACCACCCTGTTAACTAGAGGAACATCGTCTTCCCATGGCGGCCATGATCGAAAACTCCACGTGAGGTGTTCGTCGGAGGGCGTTTGGTGGCGAAATGGTTGTTCCACCAGTTTGGGATGGAGGCCATTGCTACTAGGGTGGAGGCAATGTTTCTTCGGTTGAATGCCCATGGTGGCTTCTTGGACTGGATCAAAGACATGCCTTGGTCCCAGCATGTGATGTTCAAATCCTTAAATTCGCTGTATGTAGGTCCAGATGTTGCGCATATCTGAGTTTTAGGGCGCACACCTCTTTTTTGCTTTGTCATGATTTGGTCTATCTCAGCAGGATATGCAAGAAACTGAGCATTCCACAAGCATTGACTGGCATGGACTTGGATGCTTTCATGTTTAATTATGTTTATAAGTGTGGAGGATTTCCAGTGGTGGTTTGCTTTGTGTGGTTCTTTCCCCCCGACCTTGCGTGCTGCTATCCAAGCCAATCCACCGGACGAGGTCCTTTATACAGTATATGGTCCGGTATAGTTCCCAACCACCCAACCAGTTCCGGCTTTTGAACCGGTCTCCGGATGGAGCTTCGCTTCTGAAGCTTCCGGGAAAGTGCTGCGCTCCAGTCACCGATTGGCCGAAGCCAGATGGACGGATCTCTATAAGCACGTGATCGGCGTGGTTCACACCAACTACCAGGCCCGTCGCACGCGGGCGCACAGTGCGGGCGTTTCCTGAGCGTGTTTCCTGTGTTTCCGGTGTTTCCTGTGGGTGTTACGCGAGAGAGGTAACTGTACCCCAGACACTCCATGCATGGCATATTTACATACATTAGGGTGGTTTCAGGGGTCAATGTTGGTATATTATATATTAATATATATATATATATTACCATACATGGAGTGTTTGGGTAAAGTATTGAGGTGGGCTCTTTCCGGTCGAATCTCCAACTGCGACGCCCACGCTGGCTTGATTTGGCTCAAGCCAGATCTGTGAGCTTCTGGCGTTTTGACATCTACATTTGGATGCAACCACATACAATACATACAGCACCAGCAACCTTTCATTGGTCAAAACGCGCATTTTAATAGTTTGCACAGCTGTGCAGAAGAGACCAGATTAGTGGTGCCTGTGTAGCTGGGTTGGATAAGAGATGATAAGGGCCTACGCCTGTGGTGTCCATTCCTGGTATCATCTTCAGTTCTCCAGGTGTATTTGGAAGAGCTGGGCTATGCAGGGATCATGAGCAGCGGAGAGCCCAGCCCACCGAAGTCAGTCCGTGACCCGCGTCGGATGGGCGTTTTCGGAGTTCGACCCGCGTGGGTTCGACCCAGTCCTGGCGTTGACAGACTGGGCACAGTGGTGATCAAATCATGCGCATCTTAGAAATTCCGGTGTAGATTCGCCAGACCTGCAGACCGGTCGAGAAAGGGATGTTCTGACATGAAAAAGTGCAACTTGGTGGATTCCCATATACAGGCATCATTCTCGATCTGAGGGATTGGAACATTCATTGCTCACGAAGTGGCGCACAGTGACAGAGTCCACAGGAAACAACAAAACAAGTTGGAACTGGTACACCAGAACACGCTGCAACAATGCCGGAGCTTCAGCCGGCACTGGACGTAAGTTGTGCGTGAATGGTGAGTATCAGAGCTTCAAGAGCCATGATCTTATTTTTTCTTGAGGGAGTTGCAGCTTGTTTGCTCGTGCCTGCACATAATGTTGAACTTGGATTAATAAAGTACCCCAGAATAGTGACACTTTTTTTCCTGCACAGATTAATAAAGGCCCCCAGAATAATGTCTTTTTTTTTGGGAGGGGTAGTTGTAGTGAGATATTTTTTATTGTTATAGTTTACTTTGTCCCTTCTGACTTTGCTGAGATTTGCTTTTGTACATTCTTTTGGATGGAGATTTCTACTAAACAGTTGAAGATTTCCATTGAGATTTGATGCTTTTGGAGGCTTTTGGATGGAGATTTCTATTAAACTTTTGAAGATTTCCATTGGAGTTTGATGATTTTGAAGGTCTTTGGACATGATTCCTTTCATTTTTAGTATTGACAGAGATAGCTAAGTAATGATTCCTTTCATTTTAGTATTGCCAGAGTAGCTCCAGAGGTAGCTAGCTAAGGATTCCTTATTTATTTATCAATTGATTGTTTTTCTATCACATTGTTCTGGAGTCTCAATAGTTGGGGGGGGGGGGGGGGGGGGGGGGGGGGGTTTATTAATCAAGAGTCAACATTACAGACGGTTGACAGTTACAGGCATGAAACAGGGGTCGGTCACCGACGAACGCGATGGGCGCGAGGCCCGACCATCCGACAAAGCCTTTTTTCGACCTTTACCTCTATGGTGTGGAGCCCTTCTGCGCTAACGCGCGCGCAAGCGCGGGCACAAGCGCGTAGAGAGAGAGAGAGAGAGTGGAGCCGCAGGGGAGGGCAGTTGGGGAATGAGGGATAGGAAGCGACTTCCTGGTGGACAAAGTCGGCTGATGGCCCGTTTTTCGACGGCTGATGGCCCGTTTTTATTTGAACGTGTATCAGCATGTATATCAACCAACTAAGTACCATGCAGACAGTGCTGTCTCCTGCTGTCCGGTCCAAGCTGTTGATGTGTCACACGGGTCATGGTATTGCTGCTGAAGCCGTGTTCCATTGGTTCATATTGCATGGTCCCCTGTTTCTTCCCACAATGATCAGACTTTCCAAAACCTCGCGCGATGTGAGCGAGGTTTGCAGCGCCTATTGCGACGTCACCATCAAGCTTTCGTCCGCAGGGATTTCACTGCCCAACGAGGTGTGCGGGGAGAATACAAACAGGGAGTTTTGCGTTTGGCAAGATGTGGCAATAAAGGAGGCCATGGGGGAACTTGCAACCAGAGATCCATTTCTATGTTATTTAAAGGCACAACAAAGAGGCACGGGGCCGGGGGCCTCTTCTAGCTATTAACAGGCTTTATTTGATGCAAGTTTTTCAAGATATGCCGGTAAAGAGTTACTCCACCTGGTGGGAGTGGAGGGCGACCAATGGCTGACCAATGTGCGTTTGAGATGTCCGGATGATCTTTGGAAAAAAATGCTTCGCAGAGAAACCCAAAATTAATCACGAAGAATGACACAAAAGTGTGTAAGAGGAAACCCAAAATCGCTTCACAGAGTGACAGGATTTGATTGTGAAAGAGATGTTTTTGTTTCACTGAGTTGTTTCATCCCACCGATCTGTCTGGAGAGTGAAGCTGGTACGGTCTGCCTTCGCTACGAAGCCTCACCACATGTGTCATAGCTTGATCAGATCCAGGCCATCAACTTCCTAATCCCAGGCCATCCATGGGACTGGAGTATATATATATATATGCTCGTAGTTGCATTACATTCCACTACAAAATTTAAAAGACGTGACCCATCCATGTATGGAATAGTTACATGACATTAAATACTCCCATATCACCCTTTTGCAACACCAACCGCGGTCCACCGGCGACACCTCCAAACCATCGACCGCAGTACCACGGCCGGCTTCCGCGAGGTGCAGTACAACGTGCACGGCGCCCGCGGCCTTGGCGGTGAGAAGTGAGACCGGTGGGATGACCGGTGGGGAAGCAGAGGGACCGGTGGGATGACCGAAAACGAGTATGGGGGAGCAGAGAACATGAACAACGAGTTGGGGGTTCGGCCAGTTCGGCAGTTTGGGGTTTGGGTTGAAGATGGTGAAGCGTTCTGACTTTGAAAGCAATGAATGGCAAAGCGATCATGGTCACACGTTTGTTGGGTTTGAACCATGTTCATCGTCCCAAATTGGTGATGTTCATTTAGCTTTGATTGCTTAGTTTTGACAAGAAATACCCATCAGTTCGGGCCAGGGTCAAAATTAAACAGATCGAACAGATATGAACAGATGACTTGAAAATCATGAGATTTTGGGGATTGCATGAGATGGTCGAAAAATCTTCCAAACCACCAGGTGACGTGGATTCGCAATTGTGGTTCAGGATGTATATCTGGCAGAGCCGCCTTCTTTGTCAGCCTTGCTTGGCTCCTGGTGAATCCACCACTGAAGCGGATTGATTCTCGGACAGCCCAGCTCACCCGAGGTGCGTCAAGAGTTCTTCGACATGGCCAAGCGCAGCAGTGCAGGGGAATCTCAGAGCAGAGATACCTGATTGCCATGCCCATAACGTCAGTTCCTTTGAGGTGCCAAAGGCAGGGCCTTTGTGGATGTTGCAGTTATTTTTGGACGTTTAGGGATAGGACCGGATAGGACAAAAAGGACCTGGAACGACTTGCTGTACTGGACTAGACCAGACCTTGTTAGATGATGCAAAGGACCAAGTTGAACTGAGCTGTTTTTTGTTGTTTTAGTTCTAGAGACTCCTCACCTTCCTGCGTTGGGATCCACAGCAGGAACAAATCCTAACAAACCCATGCGGTTATGCATACAGTGATTGATTGACGATGTTCTTCTACCTTTAGGATCACTGGTTTTGGTCGTTAAGTTCTCCTTTCTGAAGTTTCTGGGGGACCGATTTTGGACCGCCGCGTAAGCCCAAACTGGATGGATGGGCATCGCCACTATATAGTGGAAGCAAATTCGACGTAGAGAGTTACACCAGGTTCTCAGTGCAGCCTGGCCCGATGGGTCAAAACCTAGAGCCCGACCCGTCCACCATTTGCCGCGAACGACCTGCTGGCGAACGGTCAAGACATGACCCACAACCATTTAAACAGTCTTATGTTGTTGCTGTCCACTTCATCCTCTGTAAGGTAACAACTCCACCCTTTACTCACTGTCAAGCCCTCTCAAAGAGGTCGGTCAATGCACTTGTACTGGTTTGGAAATGACCATGCAGTCTTTTGCTGGAAGCAAAAGATCTGGTATCCTTGCCAAAGATATCCTCTCAAAACATCTCAAAAAATCAACAGAAACACTGGGAGCACGGCCACATCTTCTGCAGCAAACGGTGTCCCTATCTTCGATCTAATCTACCTCTTCAGTTATGGGACATCTTCCCATGCCCACACATGTTTTCACGCAAAACCGAGGTCGGAAAAAAGCGCTGGTTGCCTTTTCAGGACGTTTCGGAGCGTTGTGGGGGGGAACGGAGGCCGGTGGGACGGTCCGGCTGTCGAAAACGGTTTGGCTCGGGTCATAGGCTAGGGATTGCTAGGGAAGAAGGCCCAGCAGTGCAGAAGGCAGGTGGTTCCAATATCCCTAGAATCAAGTTCCGTGAAAATCCGTGAAATTCCTTTTTCTCCGGCCTTGAACGGGGATTCTCGTCTCGAAAGAGCAGACCAGAATCCAGCGTCTGAAGCCAAAATCTCCCAATGAGCCAAGATGTTGCTCAGACGAATTGCTCTCGCCACCCTGTCTTTCAAAGATTTTTACGGATGAGACGACGCTATCCGCGCCGAATGGTTGCTTTTTGGGCATGAGCAGAGCAAGGGGTCAAGTTGTGAGCCGGTTACTGGCCCCGTGGAAGATGCAACATGCCCCATGCCACACTTAATCTTTAACAGGGCCCTTGCGCTCACGTGCCAAGTGACAAAGAGAGCGTGCGACAGACTTAACAACCAAGCTGCCTTAAACTTCATGGTAGCAGAGCAGCGATCCTGGAAAACATCCAGGTGAGCTCCAACACAGAGCACACAACAAGCAATGAGCAATTGCCAAGCAACACATTGTTTAACACAAACTCTATGTAGACAACAACAGAGCTCCCTCTGCACGACCCGTCCAGGCAGAGGGCTTGGTCCCAACCGTGTTGTGGTGGACTGTCCAATAGCACTGGCAACACGAGCGGCGCCACCGCCAACGCTAGTCCGGACGAGTCCGGCACAGACCACCCTCGATACGACGGCAGCGGTGTCCACACCGATGAGTGGAGGTGTTCACAGCCGACATGGGCTTACTAGACAACAGATAAATATCCAGACCTACAAGCTGCAAGAGCCGAAGCAGCAACACCACGAACACGCCACTCTATAGATATTACTAGCAGGAGCAAGCAGCACAGGGAAGGAGAACACCGGGTACATCCTCATCAACACCACCACTGCCCAGCAGCAACCATATGCTGACAGCGCCATTTTTGAACACCACTGGGGACAAGCAGCATTAATCCCAACAACTTTGAGGAGTCCTTCGCAACTTGGGAATTCGACCTTGCCCGCAAAAAGGAACGTGACAACACAGCGTCGTCAACCGAGAAGAATGATCAAATCCTTCATTAGAGTCCCTAGAAATCCAAGTACCTTCTCAGAAGGTGATTGGAGACACCGTTATGTAACTGTAGGTTTGGAGTGTCCAAGTACCTTCTGACAAGGTACTTGGATTCCTAGGGAGTAGCTATTTACTGAGTGAAATTCACCAAGTCCTTGAGGAGCGATCGGCTGAGAGGCTGATGACCTTTCGTCGTCACGCCTGCGAGAATTCGGTCAGAAACACCTGCGAGAATGTTGGACGAGCCTGTGGAGGCAAAATGCATTTCGAATATCTTGAAAGGAACCTTTTGCTGTGTAAGGATCACCAATTTTGCCACCCACGCCTGTGACCCACCTCGATCTAGCACCTGGCCTTCCCTCCTACCGTAAGAAGCGAAGTATTGGCCACAGCGTTTGGGAAACAAGAGAAGGCTCCAAAGTTTGGACATGACACCAACCCCTGCGTCATGCTATCAACGCTTGCTTGTCACCTGCATCGGAAGAACTGCGCCATCCATGTGCTTTGGTCGCTCCAGGTGCTTTTGCGAGCGTGTGAAATGACGTGTTGAATTGGGTATCCTCTGGCAGGGTGAGTGGCTTGGGGCATGACTGTTCCTTGTTGCCCCTTGGTGTTCTTGGCATCTCGTGACATGACTGCGGCCTCCGGGGATGAGGAAAAGTGTGGGTCACTGAGAGAGGGCACCCCGCGGAAGCATGGGGCCTTGGCTGCTTGCTGCTTCGCAGGGAGTTTGCCAACCAGCAACCAGAGAAAGTGAGAAGAAAGTGCACCTCACAAGGCCCCACTGCACCGTGAGGGCGTAAGCAAAAGGGTTCCACTTGCAAGTGGAAGAGTTCTTGCACCGCGAGGGCGTCAGCAAAAGCGGTCGGGTTAGCCGGCTAGCCACTTTCACCAGCTGGCCGTCCAGCGGCGGGCTCAGAGCTACGAGAAGATCGACGAGGAGCCTTTGAGTGGTTATCAGTCTTGGATCTCCGCCCGAGGCTCTTGCAACGCTCTTGCGGCCCAAGGCTCCGAGTATGAGCGTCAGGCGGTGGCAGTTGACAGGACTGTTGCCACAACAGCCTGGTCGTTTTGCACAAGGCTGCATGGAAACCACGACGTCCCATAATTGTTAAGATGTTTAAGGGAAACTCGCCCCTCGAATTTCCTTGCGCCTTTGGCGGATGCCTTGCAAGGCATGAACGCCTCGGGTGCACAAGCATGTTGGTAGACAACATGGTTTTTATGCAGATTCGTCAAAACCTTTGGTGCCTTGAAGCTCGCCCCTCCAACATCCACGGTTTCATTCTGCGGTCCGTTGTCCAGAAAGAGCGGCGCCATTCATCATCCGGGGTACCAGGTGACATGCAGCAGGGGTGCTATAGTTGAACTTGCATCAACTTGATCTTGATTGACTATGTGCCCCCCCAAAAAAAACTCTGTTTCCCCTTCTGAATCTTGATGTCTTTCCTTGAGTAACATTTGGTTCCTCTTGTGTTTCTTCAGCTTTTGCCAGGCTGGATCGGGTTGTTTCAGGCTCATTGAGCTGCTCCTGCTGTCCATGGCACCAATCATTATCCTCGACGTCCTCGACCCAAGTGCCGTCCTTTGTACATATTTAGTTCCGCTATTGGTTTGTGTTGTCCTTTATTTAGCACCTTCCTGTGTTAAGTGGGTATAATTGATTTGTCTATGTTTCTTTGATTTTTCTATGTTTATGTATTCCCATAGGGCTTCTCTTTAGAGGAACGGTGAAGCTGCGCATGCATGTTCCCTAAAGTCCAGGTTGATGAGATAAATAGACTGATAAATAGATACAGACTGGTAGCTTGATAGGTAATAAGATGGATGGATGGATCAATGGATAGATAGATAGATAGATAGAAAACCTTTGCAACATTTTGCATTCATATTAAAAGTCAAGGGCTTTGCCCAACAACCTTGCCTGTTTCTATAAGGGATTGAATGTCTTGTTCCACATATTTTGGTGTGTGAAACCCCGATGTTTCTGGTCCAAAGCACGGCTGCTCAAAAAGGTCACCGGTTTCTTTATTCGGTGCATTCATGGATGTTGTGCATGCAGAGATTGAGACAACATGCTGTGCAGAGCTCAGTTTAGGTACAGTATGCCGCTAAGCCCCTCCCCAAAAAAGATCATTTCTAGCAATGGCTCCTGATCGGCCACTAGTCTAAGCAACCAGACGATGTGATATTGTCTTCACTTCATTTCTTTTTACTGCCCCGATTCTTCCTATTTGGTCCAGTTAACGCGTTTTTCCTGAGTTTTTGTATGGCCCCTCGTGTGCTTTGTCATATCTCAGGTATGTCCATTCACCTGTTTATCAACCAGTGCACTCCCACCAACACCTGCACACTGCACACAATTCCACACCTCACAGCTTCCCCACAGCTTCCTGTTACTGTACACCTCGTGAGGTTACCGCTTCCCCACCGTCCTTCCAGCAGCCGAACCGCGCCGAACACGTCGGTGTCCCAGGAGACGAACGAGTCCACGGGGAGTCTGGTGTACTTCATCGGCAAAGCGGTGAAGCCGAAGGGCTGGGTTTGGAGCCTCGGGATGCGACGAGAAAGGCGAAAGCGGGCGAGAGGAAAGAGACGAAAGAGACCGCCGTTCGTTTTGGTTCGGTGTGCGGTGATGGAGTTGGGAGGTTGACATTGGGTTTAAAGGACCTTTACAGGACCTATCGTAAAGAGATGTCAAATGATGTCAAGGTGTTTTTTATGTGTCGATGTAGGTTCCTGAAGATCCAAAGTGTGCGAGTGCCCCAGACCCACACCAAAATGGTTCCCACGGTGTACCAGGGAAGGTAATTGAATGCATCCCCCTGTAAGTTCGAACATGAATTAGCTGCGTTAGCTGTGGAGGACCAAAAGGAATGCATGTTTCTGGCCATTTGATGCCTCCCTGCCGACCAGGTACAAGGTGCACTCCAGGTGCACTCCTCGTTCACCAAGGTGCAACTGCTGAATTTGCTGGAAACCTTGCCCGACACAGAGGCGCCGCCCGGGATCCGTACGGATCACGGACCTCGAATGGTGAAAACCATGGGATTTCCAAGCACCCGATGCCATGGGCTGGTGGAAGCTCCCAAGCACCAGGGACCATGGCAATTCTCCATCGCACAAGGTCGTGGCCAAGTGTTTTCCTTCAAGATCCTTGCTTACCATTGTGCTAACCATAGAGATGTGGGGACTTATTGTTTAGAATGGCTAATCAAGGATATCCCACATTACACCTACATTGGGCTGGTTGAGGGGTCAATGTAATGGATGTAAGTTATACGTGCCTAGAACCCAAAATGGACCTTTGTTTTGATCGGAAAAAGACCATGTTTTGGCTCCAAAAGAGGGGTCAATCAGGTTCTAGGTATAGTAGTTATATATCTTCCAGGTCCGTCTGTGGAGTGGATATCTTTTTCAGCCACCCGAGTCCCAGGACCCGGGTTGGTGCGACGGTTTTCAGACTTGGAAAAAGGCCACCGAAATGGGCCGAAAACCAAGACATGGCAAAGATGTGCATTGTGTGCATGTGAGATCCACTGAGTTTGGACTCCTCAAGAGGTTGGACCAGGTTGGACTGTGGAGCACTGGGAAAGGGAATCACCTGCAAAGCCATGCTTTTTCGAGAGATGGTGCTTTTCGCAACATGCCACAAAATTGTCCCTAGAGAAAGCATAGAATTCTGTTTGTGCATGATTCTTGATAATGGATCCAGTGTGTCCCGGGGTAAAGAAGACGGGGCAAATCTATGAGTTCCCATTCACGGCCCGTTCTGAAGAAGGTGCACCTTCAAAAGAAGAACAGAAGAACCCTGGTTTGTTGCCCAATGTATGTGCTGGAAGCAGAAAGAATCATCGACAGGACAGACGAATACACGAAATATGATTGTCCTCGAAGATCATTTCCCTTATTCCCTTGGTGAATTCCCCACCAGTTGGCCCAGTTGGGGTCTGGTCGGTCAATCTTCGATCGAGTCTGCACACTATGAAGGATGGCCACGCCTTCACAGCACTGGCATGAGACCCTGACTCTTCACTACCCAACCATTTAAGGAAACACAACAAGAACTAAGTGAGCCAAGCCATAAACCATAGCTATAGGCCTACTATCAAGGTTTCCAGCACAGCTCAGCTGTGAACCCCACAGCTCCCGACTCGACGCGCCCCTCGCCGCCCTGAGGTCCGAAGCGGACGCTTCCGTGTGGACGCCTTCGGCTCCGGTCCCGAGGAGGAGGCGCCCGGACCGGAATCGGGGTGCGGGAACCGGTGCGGTGGGCCGAAAGTGGAAGAGTACCAGCACCGACTGAAACCAGGTCACCTGAAACCAGCTGAAACCAGGTCAATTGAAACCTGTTATTGGGGTCCTTCCCAACCCTCCATAACTCGGAGACCTGTAGGGGAAGCGTGCTGGTATAGGGGAGTCGCCCAGTCTCTTGGGATTTGCAATGATCCGGTCGTGCTCAGGAAATATGAGGAAACTTCCCCAAAACGGATGTTTCACCACCGAAACCATGGCGTTTCATCACTTGTTGAAGGCCTATATATATAGATGGACAGATGGACTATGATTCAGCCTCCTGCAGCCTCCTGCATGTTCATATATTGATGTCCATCTCTTACTTCGTTTCTTCGACGCCAAGTCTTCATCCAAACGAAGCGCCGAACGTTTTTTCGACGCCACGCCGTGACGCGCAGGAGATTGCTGAGATGGTGCAACAGCTGAATCAGAAGCGCGAGGGGAGTCTTGGATCAATCATCGAGGCGGAACAAAGGAGGTGCCAACTTTGGGATGAAACATATGGCGAATGGCGAATTGGCAAATCTTGAACCATGAACCTGGGCTGGAAAAGTTGTTCGATGCAGGTGAAACACAGATAGGCGACCCCCCCCCCACCGAACCTGACCTCAGATTGCGCGAATTTGACCCTCATGTCATCTTCGAAGTTGTTGCTTTTGAGGATCCTGCAGATGTTCCCGGGCCGCAATCATGCCGACAAGCATTTTGAGCAGTACAAGGCGCCAGGGTCGGGGTCAAATGGTATCATCATGTCCATCCGTTGGGTAGTAGCCAGTAGTAGTGGGATATTGCGGGATACCTTTTCTCACTCAAAAGTATTTAGCCAATACTCGTCGTTGATGTCCCCTTTCTCCGGCGTGACAGATATTGATGTTTCCTGGACATCCGTCATCGCAGTATTTTTAGGTACAAGGCGCGTGATGCGCGTGCAGCGGACCTTTGGCATCTTCACAGTTGGAATTTCTTGATGATTTTGACATATTATTGACCTGTTTGCGCTCGCTGTCAATTCAACAGCCTGTAGTCACTGGACATGTCATATCGAATGGCAATGGTGAAACGGGAATCCAATTCGGGTCAGTGATCACCGACGGTACTCGGCCCAGGTGCTGGTGAATGCCTCCACCACCGAGATGCTTTGTCGAAGCCCCAAGCACGTACTGGGCGGTTTGGTCAGATCGGTCCCCGTGCGCGGTGAGTCCTTGGGGGGAACCAAAACGACGACGTTGCCCTTCTTCCAAGGAGACGACCAAAAAGACAACTTCAGAAGGCCTACAGAAGTGATCTGTGACAGGCCACCATTGGAGAGAGATTGATGATTGGGGTTCAATAATGTTCAATATGTTTTTTTTTTTGACAACAGATTGGTGTTGCAAGGATGCAGAAGACTCATCATAAGATTCATAAGATATACAGGTGCTGTTTGATGATTGCTTTCCTGCTCACAATTTTCCTGATATGCTGTTTCATGATGTTCATGTATGGTTCCAACTCTTGCGAAGCTTTCATGAAAGGGAACGCAGGACTTGGCCCGAACAGCGAGCTTCTGTTTTCATGGACATGACATTTACTTTAAAGATATTAAGGAGCTGGGGTGCGATGTTCGATGGTTCCTCCGAGCAAGCAACAACTGCCCCTACCAGGGTCCTACCACCAAATCCACTTTCGAGGATCCATTGACAGTTTTTCGTGGAATGATTTCATGTGATACATGGTTTCACAGTTCTGCCTATCTCACAACCTGGGTCAAGCTCTGACTCTTTGAGACCTTCCAACAAAGCCGGAGAGTTGGGAACCACCTCTTTCACAGCCAAATGGTCGGCACTGCCAACCACTTCCAGGCACGGTGACGGCGGAAGCCTTGGCCATGGGCAAACACGTGGTGCGCGGAATCGACGCCGCGGCATCCGTCGCCCGGGACGGTGCGAAGCCGACGATCCAAGAGGTCTCTGGTTGATGTCTAAGAAAGAGAATATGTGGAAAAGGATCAGACATGAGAAACGCAAGGGCTCTTTTTCTGGGTGTGTATTGACATATGGGGGGTCCTCCCCTAAAAAACTGGAAGAAGGGAAATAGACCAAAACCAGTACCAAAACCCATTTGGTGGGTGGTCTCCCTATTATATAAATAGCATGATCCGGTGCTTCCAAAGTAAGGACTAACTCCATGCGGGACCATCCAAGAATCCGCTCCAGAGCATTCTGATGTTGCTGATCGGGAGATTCACGTAGAAAATCGTTTAAAATTTCCAGATTTTGTTGAATTCGTTAGTCGGTTTTCTTCCAGGTTCCTTCAGCAAATCGGATGACTCCCTCACATTGCAAGGATTGGTCGAGCTTGAGGACCTTTTCACATCGATCAGAAACACTTGGGAGGGCCGTCCTGCATTTCACCGTCTGAAAGTGGTAGTTTCGGAAATCGAAGATCAATATTGGCAATCTCCAAAATGTCCTCAACCCAGCTGTCCAAAACTCATTCCTGCGTTCCATGTAATCAATCCGCACAAGAGGTCGTTGCAAATACTGCAAGAGCAATGCAAACCCCAATCAGCCCTGTCGAATCCTAGACACCGCTTTCAGGAGTGCATTTGTCGGGTCATTTCATTTCGCTTAAGCCGGGAGAAAGACTAGTGCCGATGGGCCGATGGGATGCAGATATAGCGTGTATACGTAGTTCGAAGCCCAACATCGAATATCATCCAAAGGCAAAAGAGTTTGGAATCATCCCTTCTGCAGGTGCTTGCAGAGGACCCGTCCAACGCATACTTCAAGGCACGCGTGCCACCATGCGCACACATGTGTCGGGAGCCGGGAAGTGTTCATATAGTGGTCATTAGTCGTCCCTTGATTTTCCTGTCATGGAGTCATAGCAATGATGGGTGTTGAGAATGGATTCTCGTCGCCAGCCCACTTGTGAACATGGTGGCCTATCAACCAGCTGTCAACCATGTACCATGCTTTCTTCAAAAGGAATCCTACGACCGCATGACCACTGGATGACGGTCGAAATCAGACAGCCAAGCCCATCAGACCTTCAGCTGAACATGCGTTGCATCCGAAGCAGCGACATGTTGATGCTTGTTGACAAGGGACTGACTGCACGAGAGCGGGGAGACGCATCAAAAGAAAGACACAAACGTAACAGATTACCTAGATTACCTTGCATCCTGGTGGATGGTTGTTCCTTTGGATTTCCCGGGCTTGATCTCCAGCAGCGTCCGACCTTGGACTGAATCCTGCTGGGCCGGTTTCCGATGGGTCCGAGACAGAGACCTGAAGGAAGATGTCTCGGATTCCGAGGGGTCGAGTCTGTTGCACCTATTGGCACCTCATAGTACTTGTAGCTCCTAGTAGCGTCCTTGCTCCTAGTATGGGCAGGAGCTTGTAGTAGTTCCGGGTCGATTCCGGAAAAACCCAGATTCCGGGGTCGATTCACTTTCAAATCACTCACAGTACATCCGAGACGGCACCTGCACCTCCTGATTTGGGGCCGTGACGAGACCCCGAGCTGTCGCAATGCTTGAAACATCGAGCCTTTGGTACAGATGTTTCGTGCCAAAACCGCCGAGGCCAATTTCCCCGAGCGTTGCCATTTCTTCAACTTGCAGGTGCTTTTGGGGGTCGGAAAGTGAAAGGAGCACTTGCTCCACACAAAAAGGTGGGCGAATGCATCCCTCAAACGATCTCAAACGAAGAGGCCATGAAAGATCAACAACTATATACAGGCAAAAGACCATGTCGTCACTTTTTTTGAGACATTGAAATAGTGGCAAGGGGTGACTTAGGGATGACTTTGTCAGGTTCCTGTATATATATACACATGAAACCACCAGCACCACCCAAAGGGTCGTTAGGGGGATCTATCAACCACCCGAACTGCGTGGTGGTGGCAAGACCGTTTCGTTAGTCATGTTGCACTTGGCCGTGCCAGTCCTGGGGCTCACTTATGTGTGCTTCCAAGATTCCATACTTGGATCTTCCAACTGAACAAAATATGTGTTCATCTCTAAAAACCAACCAAAAGGATCCAAAAGGCAGAAGTGTCTTACAGCGAGAAGATCCATAGATGGAGGCTTTACTAGAAGGTCTTGCAAAAAATTTGCCAAGCGATCAATCCTTTATTGTATTCCATAGGCTGACGGCTTGGGGGCCGGGTTGGGCTGCGAACCATGCCTCCTTCGTTTGAGGTGCATCTGTGTCTGTGTGTGTTATTGTTTAATAGAGACCTTTGGCACCAACAGGGTGGGTGAAGCCCATTGGGGGATCTTCACCTGTTGAGGGTGCGACCAAACACAGATGGGGCTAGGCAACTGCTGGCTCTTCTCATTGAGCATGTGACATTTGTGTACTCTCTCAATATAATTCACATATATAATTATATAATACACATACTGTCTACACATAAATGGATCAAGGCGAGCCATGCGGCAATGAATTCTGAGGCCGGGACGGTTTCGTCACGTGCACGAGAAAACGTGACGGAGGAGAAGACAGCACGAGAAAACGCGTGACTTTCCGATCGTGACGCCTTCAGAGCTTTCGGGTTTGCCCATCACTGAGGATCCCAGCTCTTTCCATCGCGCATTGCAGGCTAACATCTGCGTGGGGGGTGCAACGTGCTGTGTGGGCAGAGTGCGCAGCCGCACATGGTGTCCCCTCCAACTGACCCCAACCAGTCAACCTGTGGGGACCTGAGTCACCCTTGGGGGTCTTCAGAAGACTCTCCCCAAAGTTCGCATCAATTTGAAACAACTTTTGGCCCTTTCCTGACCAACAAGCAACACCCGGTCAGAGCGGATTTGTGCCACTCTGATCTTGAACCTCTACACTCTATATTATACACCCTTTGAAGGAGTCATTCAAGTTCGCATCGTTACACTTCAATTGGTCGTGCAACCTACCAGGGACAGGGTACATGCGACATGCTATCCATGTTTGTTCAGCAACTGATTTCACTTCCAAAATGTATCATGCCAAATGAAAGAACACCTTTCACACTCAGACTGGTGGCAAGATGACAACTACAATGCAAAATGAAACGTCGCAGCACTCTGTCCTCGCTGATTTGAGGATGGGTTGGCACAAAAAAGGGTTGATTTCAGAATGGAAGGAGGTTGTTGGGTTATCTCAACCACTCCCAACCAAGAGTTCCCAGGGAGGTCGCCAGAGATTTGGTACAAAACTCAGTTTTGGACAGGATGCCCTGGAGAAGGAGGGCCCCTTGCCATTGTCCTCGGCAGCGGAGGCGGTTCTGTGTATGTGTGTGTGTGTCTCATGAATCCCCAAAAGCTCGAGCGAGCTGGGATCCTGGATGTGTTCATGCGACTTACTTGGTCAAGTTGTTACCTTACTTGAATCGTTTTGTTGCGTTTGTCTATGATCTCTAATTATAGTTACTAGTTGCGAAAAACCTGCATCCTGAGCGATCAGAAGAGTCTCTGACAGGTTTTACCTGGTATTCTTTCGCAACAGTCTCAGACATCGGCAGCACAGACCTTGGTGTGTCTGGGAGCAACCCTTTGATGTTCTTAGTAACGACCGAAGCTTCCTTGGGAATCGTTTCACCAGTAACAATGAGGCAATATGTCTTCGAACCTTCTTGGTAACAAAACTTATATCCCAGACACTCCATGTACAGCATATTTACATACATTGGCGTGGTTGAAGTCGGGGTCAGTGTAGGTAAATATGCCAGTCCGCAGCGTCTGGGTAACTCGGAGACCACGATGGAGTCACCAAAGAACTCGTCGAATGTCGGGGGGGCAGCTCACAGTTGGTTGGTCTCAGCATGTGAAAAAGAAGCTCAAGAAGAACATGACTCAGTTCTTGAGTGGTTTTCAGTGAACAAAAGAACAGAGTATTTGTTTGTTCTTCTCAGAGTTCTTCCACAAAAGTGGATCTTTTGTATGTTTGGTTTTCGGTGAACATAATCAAAGATCAAAATAGAACAGAGTCATTCACCGAAAGATATTCGGATGTCGGACTCATCCATTTTGACTTGAGGGGACGTTTTTTGGACGCCCGCGGCACATGAGCCGTTCCGCAGACTCCAAAGGAAGACTCGCTTTGCGTAGATGCGGGGACGCGGTTGCAACGCCAAATGCTCCCGTTGGCCACCCAGTTGAAAGGCCGGACCTGGCCCTGCCTTTGGCCACCCGGCCGACCCCTAGAGGCCCTAGTCCTTCACGCCCTGAAGACGGCGAAGACCACAGGGTCACCAGACATCAAAAGACTACATCTCGGCGACTCGCAGTGACCGGAAAGTCGTGGCTTTGGAGGATCATACACCCAGAAGGAATCAGGTTTCAGGGGTTGGTTGGTCAACCTTTACCACATCGGCCACATGAGATTTTACCCTCATCTTCACTCTTGGGGTGACCGAAATCCAATTCTTACGTCAAACCACGACTTTCTTGGCGATGTGTCCGATGCTCCTTTCAAGGCCCTCCTCAGCTGGGATGCGGCCTTGGAGCGTTTCTATGACGCATCACAGGTGGCGTTGCAGGGAAGCTTCCGGTGTTTCCGTTTGTTTGTTCAAGGGAAGCTGTATAGGCAGTTGCAGGCATTGAAGTTGATGTTGAGATGCCGGCACCTTTGCGTTCTGGAACACTTCGCTTCGCCCCTGCCAGCTGCCGATGTGCCACGATGTGTCGTCGGTCGCAGGGACTCGTGATGTCGCGGGAAGTGAAGTCGAAAGTTGGAAACCCCATAGCTGTGGTGGAGGCTTTTTCCCTGGGCAACAAGTGGCTTCAATTGTGACTGTGAGATGCTCACTCATTTCGAAGACGCAGGTATGTCAGGGGCTTGGCACGCGGTTTGTTTGGATGGCCTATCTTTAATCGATGCGAATGTACTTTCACACAGGCTGTGTTCTTTAGAGTTTTTGGCGTGGTCTGCAGCTTTTGGCGCCAGCAGAAGTGCTGGCCACGAATCTGGGGCTGCAGGAATTGTCACAGGTGTTGATCTGTTGGATTCTTGAAGTTGACTTTTGGCGCTCCTACAAGTGGTTTTTTGGGGGGCTTTGGTCCTCCGACAGGTGCGACACTCGCACGAGAAACAGCAACCTCAGAGCTGCTCCAGAAAAAAAAAAAAAACTCACACATGATTCAACTTCTGCTTGCAACCAAAGGACACTTCCAAGTATGGGTCTTTAGGTCTTGTACGCACACCATTTCGTGGTCCCCACATAATCCCAAATAGATAGAAACGGTTTCCATGCCATACATGTTTAGATACGGTTCTATCTATTGCAGGGTCTATATATGTTTACATCATGTTCTGCTTGCTTTTCACGAAAGCTAGCGAAGCTAGCTGGAGTTACTCTTGCGATAGCAAGGTTTCTTTCGACCGGGTGCAAATCCTAACCCCTGATTTTTCAGGTCGAAGACCCCCCCCCCTCCCCTCTCCCCTCTCCCCACCCCACCTCCCCTCTCCTCCTCCTTGTCTTCCTCCCACCTTCCCTCCCTCCCTCCCTCCTCCCTCTTCGCAAGTTCGACTCCGTCCTGTCGTCGCTCTTTGGCATGCGGTTAGCGTTGCGTATCTTGCGGCCGCACTCGCTCACTCTCACTGTCTCACTGTCTCACTGTCTCTCGCTCTCTCTCATCTCTCTCATCTCTCTCATCTCTCTCATCTCTTTCTCATCTCTCTCATCTCTCCCTCCTCTCTCTCTCTCTCCTCTCTGTCTCTCGTCTTTCCGTCTCTCTTCTCTCTCTTCTCTCGCAGGAGGATCCGGGCAAAGAGCCACATATAAAGGACTCTTCACCCCTGCCTCCAAAAAGAGCGCCGTGTTTTTTCCTACCTCGCTGCCCTCCACTTTCCCATTCTGGAGCGCTAGCTTTCGCCCCCCCCTTGGCCTCAAGTAAATCTGATGGAACTCATCGGAACTGGACCATCACACCTTCTTTGTGATCCGTCCTGGCATCCCATCCGTATTTGGACATCCGCTCCAGGTCCACGTGCTGTCTGGACGTTTGGAAAGGCCTTCCGAGGCGCCGGGGAGGTCCATGGGAGCGAAGGAGGGGCTTCCATGGGTCGCCCGAGGCCCAGAGCACATGGTTGTGGGGCCAGGCCACTGCACCACCTCTAGTACCACGGATAAAGTCGAGTTCCGCAACTGCACAGGATTCTGCAACTAGGATTCTGCAACTGTTTGGTCAGATTCCGCAACTGGGATTCCGCAACTGGGATTCCGAAACTAGGATTCCGCAACTAGGATTCCGCAACTAGAATTCCGCAACTAGGATTCCGCAACTAGGATTCCGAAACTAGGATTCCGCAACTGTCAAGATTCCGCAACTAGGATTCCGCAACTAGGATTCTGCAACTGGGATTCCGCAACTGGCGTTCCGCAACCAGGATTCCGCAACATTGTGGACTCCCTCACTAGGATTCCGCAACTTTGTGAATGATGAGGGATGTCGAGATCACACGATGGGGACAAGGGGGGGTTGGGGGGTGGGGGGGTTGGGTGGGGGGCTAATGACGTTGGTTCGGATGTGCTTCGAAGGTGGTGTCACAGGCACACACGCTATCGCATGATGTGGAGATCACCAGTTGCAAGTTTCAGAAGGCAAGTTGCAGAATCTGACTTTCCAGTTTCAGAATACCAGTTGCAGAATCTGACTTTCCAGTTTCAGAATACAAGTCTCAGCATCCCAGTTTCAGAATCCTAGTTTCAGAACCCCAGTTTCAGAATCCTAGTTTCAGAACCCCAGTTTCAGAATATCAATTTCAGAACCCAAGTTTCAGAACCCTAGTTTCAGAACCCCAGTTTCAGAACCCTAGTTTCAGAATCCGACCGATTAGTTTCCGAATCCGGCTCTAACCCTAGTACCACCACTGCTTGTAAAGGAAAGGGATGTGTTTCTGCTGCCATTCACGCCCATGTCAATAGGCAGACATGGTTCTTTTCTGAGACATCGCAAGAAGACCCATCCATCCTTTTGGGAAGTTGAAAGGTTCTGCTCCTGTCTGGCACCCAACCAAAGACCATCAAAGAACCAACTCGCCGGTTTCTCTCAAAAACCGAAGGCCTCGGGGTCCGTGGCTTCGCGTGTTCTGCCGCAGGCGCGCGGGGCCAAGATCGCCTTTGAGATCCACAGCCGCTTCCAGGTCCCACCGAGCGGCACCGAGCGCGACGGGTGGTTTGGAGGACCCTGAAAGGTTTGAGCTTGCGCTCTGACAGGGCGTGTGATGGCAGATTTCGATTGTTGGATGGTTCTTTTGGCGAACCAAGATTGAATGCCGGTGCAAAGGAAAAAAGAGAAACTCGTAGAAACGAGTGATCAAGGTCGACCCAAAGTTTGAAGGGAATTTGACATCTTGGTCTACTTATTACTATGTTTGAGCCAGGGCCATATTACAGTAAATATTAGGTGAGTGAGCCATATCACCATCCAGGCCCATGTCAAGTCACTTAACAGCTGGAATCACGCTATTGCTCAGTGAACATCTATGGTTTTGGTCAAGGATCCAGGATGATCCACGACACACTTCGTTACCATGCATGATGTTGGCTGACTTCCATTTAAACCACGAGCAGGTGATGGTTTGGTGATGAGCAGTGGAATGTGGTAGCTTGACACCCATGTGATATCATTTGATGAATTCAGAATGTCACCTGTCTTGACCAAAACAGAATGTTTTATCGATTTACCAAGGACCATGTTCACCCCACAGAGTTTCGCTGCTGCGCTGCCCACATCGAGCCCATCAATCAATTGACATCATGGCATCTCACGGTGTCGTCGTCACGATGTCGGCCTTTTTTGGGGGGTAAACTCGCCCGGCGAATCCGATCGTGAACATGCCAGGAAGAACCGTTTCCCTAAGAATCTTGGGCCTTCCATGGCAGGGGTCGGACCAGACCTCATCGCAGGGGTCCGGGCCCGCAAAAGCCTACTGGTTTGGGGGCCCGGGTTCTTAGGGTTATTATCTCCATTTTGCACGTCAAATTCTGGGCCCTGACCCGTCTGACCAGTCCACGTCGACGGAACTCGCACCGACACTGCAGACGGACACGCCGGCCTTCTCGAAGCTGTTGAAGAGTGCCACACTGAACCAGGAGATGGAGTTTAAGGTGCGACGGATGGGGGCTGTCATCACCGCTTCAAGGGATTTCTGTGGAGCTTTCAGCTGACGACTGTTCCCATCTGAAGTCTTCCGAGAGCGAAGGGTTTGGGAGGATTTGAGACGGTTTTGAAGGGGAGTTGACGGCTTTGGTTTTCCACACCTGGCGAAACCAGTTGACACATCAGCACAGACAACCACAGACCTCTGCAGATTTCGCCGTTTGAAGGTCCCAGTTCGCTGACTCGGAAAGGACCAGCGAACTGTTCTATAATATACCTAGAACCCAAAATGGACCTTTGTGTTTATCGGCAAAGACCATGTTTTGGCTCCAGGCCGGGGTCAATCAGGTTCTAGGTATATCTCCCAGACACTCCATGGGACTGCCATATATGCCGATCAATTGACCCCCCTGGCACCACCCCGATGTAAGCATAAAAAAAGCAGTCCCATGGAGTGTTTGGTTCTAGGTATATATATATACCAAAAGTTATACCAGCTTCTTCAAAGTGACCTTTTGAAGGTTCCTAAGTGACCCTTAGGAGGCTTAAGTGACCTCAAACCAGGTCATCAAAAGGTCACTTTGAAGAACCAGGTATGTGTTGTTTTGTTTGTGTTTGCTTTGTCCTTTCAGCTTGGGATCCGAAGCGTTCGGTCCCGGGGAGCCGACGGTCCGGGTCCGGGTCCGAGGTCGGATGGGAGCCAGGTGTGAACCGGCCAACGAAAAAGCAAGACAAGCGACCACCACAACGGTGATGTGATTTAACGGTGACGTCTGTTGTATGGCATGTACGTTCTTTTTCCCGGTGACACCCATTTGTTTGTTGATTTACGGTGATTTCCGTGGTGTTTGCACGACACTCGGCTACACCATTGATGTGGAGAATTTTAAGTTCCAAGCAATATGGGTTTGTAGTGAAATAGGGAGACCGCCCAATGGGTTCTTGTACAGTAAATGTTTTTCTGGTTTTCCCAGTGGTCCTTGGGACTATGACCTTGCTGCTTCAGTGAACATTCCCGCAGAATTCAGAGAAATCGAGAATCCTTTGGAGGAATGTTCACAAAACCGCAGAGTTGCTCATTTTGTATGTAATGATAATATAGGGAAAGCCCTAGGGACCACTGGGACCGCAAAATTCCGTTCAACACCCTCGTGCAGGGGCCCTTTTTAAAGGGCCGTCTGCCACCGTGGTGAGGCCCCCTGGGCTGAGTTGGGCACCACCAGTGAGCTGATGGACGCTGAGTTGCAAAGAAAGCACGGTTGGTGGAGTTGCGAAGGCAAGAGTTGAGGCGTAACTTTTTTGCTCAGGGACACCGATCTTGATTTATTGGACGCAAGCTACATGTAAGCTATACATGTATTAAAGATATATTAAAGATGTTTGAAGATCTATATCAATTGGTTTGTTTGTGAAAGCACGTATATACTAGTTTTTGTCAAAACATTCCTTTATCAGTTGGGAAAAATGATGCCTTGGTCCCACTGATTCCTATGTTGTTCTATTTCCTTGAGCAAAGTGTTCAGCATGATTTGTTGCATTGGCATGCATCAGGAAAGTGTCAGAAGCTGGTTTTTGGAATGGTGAAACCATGTGAAAGCACCCGGACACTCCATGTATAAGACTTAAAACTGACTGTGCCCTGAAACCACCCCAATGTAGGTAAATATGCCATACACGTTTGCCAGTCATGTGACCGACAGACAGACTCCGCCGCTCAAACACTCCAATGGCATCCAATGATCATTCAGTCGTCCGGTGTCGGCTGAAGTCGCGGTGGTTGTGCATCTCGGAAGCAATTTGCAAGGCGGCTCTTGCATGGTGAGATCTATATATATATACACGAACTAGCCTCACTTGAACTACTAGGACACCCACTCCTGGCCACAGGACATCTTCTTGCTGGGGTCAGAAACGAAACCCTTCTTGTGCCCGCTTTCCGCGTGTCTTCCACCACTCCATGTGAGGAGAAGTTGAGAGGCTATATGTCTTTGGAGCCGCTCGGTGACCGTTTTGAGATGGTAGTAGAGACAGAAGATAACATGATCAGATCTGGTCAACTGAAACCAGTGAGAACACCCCCAAACGGGTAACCCGGACTCCGACTCGACCGGTTCATCTACCACAGCGGCAAACATGGTGCGAAACTCGCTCTTGGGGACCCATGGTGAGAGCGGGCCTTCCTTCAAAGCCCTTGGGGGGGACCATGGGGCAGTCTTTTTTGATGTGCTGGCACTGCCCCCTACTTTTTGGAGTTGTTGGTTCTCACTCGTGAGCCATCATGAGTCTCGATAGAGGTCCACTTCAGTGATGGGTACAGTTTAGTCTACATTCCAATTCTACAGGCATATTTGAGGTTTGCTTTTTTTCTAAGCCAGATCAGCTAGTAAGTAGACTAGCTGACTAGCTCCTGGACCTGCAACTTCCTGGCTCTAGTGTTTGCAAACCAGTGGGTGGAAAGCAAACCATAGGGGTTTGTGGCCTGTGGCGATTTCATGAGCACCCATCCTGCTGAGACGCGTTTGTCCTTGGTTTGTTCCGTTGCTAAAGGTGCGAGAAAGTGCGTCGGAGTTTGATGTCCATGACTTGTGACCTTACTCCGGCAAGCCATGAGAACATCAAACTATATGACTATACTGTATGTATGTATAGTCCGTTCTTACCTGTAGAGCCGTCGATAAACAACTATAACTTTTTTCAGGAAAGGCCTTAACTATCCTTAACTAACTAACCACGGTTACTGGTAATAGGATAGACCCGATATATATATATATGTATATTTGCATAAATTATCTTGGAATATCTTGGATGGTGTTGAGGTTCTTCACGCATGGACCCCTGGTCGGGTGTTGCAATCCAAGCGTGTTCGCTCACATGTGCTTGCAAATGATTGTTATTTTTTATCCAATGCATGATCTTTACACCCATCGACACTTTCAATCACCATTCCCAAGATTTTGGATCATGTTCGGCAATCTCCAGGGTATTCCCTAATTCTTGGGGGATACCTCTATACCTGCAACCAGTCTTGAGATATCACTCTCTAGATTTGGAATTGGCACCGTTTGAAACCAAGGCAGAAGAGGGACTTTGATGTAGTGGCCAGCTCTGACCGAGTGGAGGACACCGTGAAGTAGACGGAGCACCGCAAATAGCTTGCGCCCAGCGCAAGCGCCCAGCAGCGGGGGCGGCCCTTCCCTTTCAACTGCGAAGTCCGTTTGTTGGCTCGCTCTTTGATCTCTTTGATGTTTTTCTTCTTTTTACGGTGTAGTTTGGATGAAGAACATGCTCAATTGGACAGCTTTGTATATGAGACCCGATGATTCTTTTGGTTCAACACGGGGAAAGGAACTTGTTGTTGGGGACGCCTCTTTCTTCAATGACCCGTACAAGGAAACCATACAGATTCCAACTCACATCATTGGTCAAACTTGCAGAGCCCCTGACCTTTTGCCTGGTTTGTTACCCTGACCCCGGGGTCCGTCACCACGTCTTGTTCCGTAAATTGAAAAGGGTTGAGGGTTTACAACCGACATGAATTCAAGGCATTCCAAGGAATTCTTTTTGAGATATATCTAATATGTATCATTGAATATTTACCTAGAACCCAAAATTGACCTTTGTATTGATCGGAAAGAGGATAGTTTTGGCTCCAGGCCACAGGGGTCAATCAGGTTCTAGGTATATCTCCCATACACTCCATGGGACTGCCATATATGCCTACATTGACCCCCCTGGCACCACCCAGATGTAAGCATATATGGCAGTCCCATGGAGTCTTTGGGTCTATATCTTGCCAGCTTCGGGTCCAACCTCGTCCAAACCGCATAGCATCCGTCGGTTTGCTTCGCAATGCTTTGTCCGTCCAGTACGCACCCGGTGAAAAAGGCGTAGCTTGGAAACGGCGACAGATGGGGATCAGATGCCGAAGCATGCTATGACAGATGTGGATCATCTGCAAGAAATATGCAAACTGTTTTTGTGACATGTTGTTCGCGACTCGCGACAGACTGAGCGATGCGACTGATACAGTAGGAGGGAATGGATCCAGGAATGGGAATCCCTATTGGGGCGACGTTTCCCGACATTTCCCTGCAAGTCGCACCAGTCAGCAGATTGCCACCCAAGACATTTAGCCGGGTCGGTGATAGAACTCGAAGCGTCTGATCTTTGAAGCTAAGGAGCAAGAAGGAAACCGAAGAACAGTACTGTCAACAGTGGAGAGGCTTGCCAAATCCTGGGTTTTCAGGGTTTTCAGTGTTCTACCGGGTTGCATCATCCATTGTTTTTAAGTGCATTGCCAAACCAAGATACATAGATGAACGTTTGCTAGGAAACTCTTTTGTTAGTTCTAGGAGTGTTCACTAGAGATCCAAGTCGTCGTACAGGGCAAGCATTACTTCGACATGCCGCATGGCAACAAAGCCAGAAGACTCGCTTTTGCTGCATGGGTTCTTGGTGCACGGGCAGAGTTTGATCTAAGACTCAAAGGCAGTTCTTTGCAACATATCTGCAGTAGTCCTTCATGGAACTTCCAGCTACACCACCCAAGGTATGATATAAGTATATTATGGCTAAAAACTATGTGTTTCTGCGCCTATGTGTTGGTGCATGTGGATGTTCCACTACTCCTCTAAAACTTGAGGAGCGGATGAAATGAGTTCTGCAGAAAAGAGAATTTCGGTTCTGTTGATTACACGTCTGTCCAGCAGGTAACACCGCATCAGTTGCAACAGAATATCAAGGTTTGGTTTGAATGAAATCAGGAGTCACCGGTTTGGTGGTGAATGGTGGTCATCAGCTTTCAGCTTGCTGAAATCTTTCAGCTTCCACTGCAACGAACATTGGCCTTTCTCAGACCGGAGAAACGAGATTAGTTCATCAGCAGTAGCAGTAGCATATCGACTTAAATATCTGTGATGTTGTGAGAGCGAGAGAACTCTGAGAGCTGATCCCAATTCCTTGGCTCAAACATGGCCACGTTGCCCGGGGCTGTGTAGGTAGCGCTCTCCTCGGTGAATTATTTTTCAATGGCTGAAACAGCATGTTGGATGTACTACATGCACATCGCCAGGTCACCATCGCTGTAGCAAAATAGGCCTAGCTTACTTGGGGAACTTTGAAGCCACCTGGGACCCTCGATTTCCAGCTTGGGTTGCCCAGCAAGGTCCTTTTGCCACAGGACCGTGACCGGGGTGCTCTCCAAGCACGCTTTCTCGTTGGTGGCGATGAACGTGCAATGAAAGTCTCAAGTTCTGTCTTCCAACCAAAGTTTCAGCATCCAGAGTATCCAAGGCCCTGCAGGATTGGAGGTGGGTGGCACGGTTTCCGTTGATTTCTGCAATGTTGTGAAGATGAAAATGTGTTTGATCTAGAATGGGCCACAAGCATGAGAACTGCCAGAAGTACTTCAGACATGTCCATCAGATTGTCCTCCATTCATGTACACATGCCGTCCATCTGTTTGACCAACCAGAAACCCAAGAAAGACACCTGAGACACCTCGTCTACCCTCCACAATGAGGTCCACAAGTCTTGTGAGGTCCAGGTGTGTCTTCAGATATTTCTGACCCATTCTTGAGGTCTGTGAGCTGCAAGACTCAAGACACACAAGTTGACTGGACTAGAACTAGACTAGGGTAAAGGCAGCTGAACTGCCGCATGTGGTCATTTCCTTGGCTGGTTCAGCGGAAAGCTCTGAAGCTCCTGGACATGACTGGACTAAAATCACGTAAAATGCGCCACTCTCCAGGCGGTCATCACCAACTTTTTCCGTCCGTCGTACGCAAAGTCTAGCGGGTCAGTGTGATAGTGCTGTGATATGTCCAATTCCTTGGGACAAGTTCCCAAGAAGTCAGACTGCTTTGGCCCTACATAAACCGTGTAAGAAGGCTACATTGGCATCCATCAGCCATCAACCATCTAGTTGAACAAAACATGACTTAGAGTATGGGTAAGACCGAACTCCAACCTGATCATGGCAATCTGAATGGCCACATGGCCAGTGGACTTCTCCATAAGGTCTCTCCAAAAGTACTCCAATTGGCTCAACTATGCAACTTGCCATGCTCCCGCCACCGCCCCTGCGGTGCCAAGGCCATGGGCGGCGTCCACTCCATGGTCGATTGCGCCAGCTTGGGACCCAGGGCGACGACCCCGGCGCGGGTAGCCTTGTGAGTGTGCGGCATCACATGGTCTCGCTCATCCGTTGTCCACAAGCCTTGTAGGTGTTGAGGTTTACGCCTTTTCACATCAAACCTTCTCTAAAGCATTCGGAGTTGTTTTTCTCCAAACACTGTTCCAAGCGCTTCCCTCCACATCCAACTCATTTGGACACTCAGCTTTGTCCCAAGGATCCTCTTGCAGGTCGTTTCCTTGGCGCAGACATGGGCAGACCCAAGTTTTCCGTGCGCCGTCGTGTGCAGGTGAGGAGGACTGCAAGGCACGAAGAAAGCCGTCCGGCGTCCGACGCTCAAAGGTTGTTTGAACAAATGGTTGCTTGTCCACTTCTGTGGATGAGGGACGGTGCCTGTACGACTGTATGTGGGTCTTCACTTTGGAGATCACATTTAAGGGGTCACTATGCACGTGGGTGTGCATTTGACTAGGGAGACCCCTGGCCCGGGGAACTGGGTATTTCGACTGGTCTATTTCCCGAAGCGAAGCCGTGTGGGAAGATGTGGGAGGTCTCCTTATTCTAATACACGCCCAAAAAACTCCCATGTAAAGGTTTGGTAAGGATGTGTGACAGAATATGGTTTGTCAAAAAGGCTCAGGAGAGAGGTTGTTGGCATGAGACATAAATGAGTTCTCAGAAGGAGCTTGATGGAAGAATCTTCAAGGATACTCTTCATGGGTCCACATGAAAGATGATCAACTGCTGGAATATCGGAATATACTTATTCAATATCGGTCACCCTGATGATCGTGCAGCTGCATCAATGCGAAGCGAACTTGTTGAGGCATATCATATTGTTAGTATATAACCTAGTATGTTACCAATTGCAAACCCAGGTTGGATCAGGTCTCAGGTGGTCTTCAGTTTAGAGACATACATAGAGACGATGTCAAGAACCCACCTGGGAAAGGATTGGACGTGATAGGACCGTACCTTTTAGCAGGTGTGATAGGACCCAAGTGCCAATGATCACACATGGCTTTGGATCAACCGGTTCTTCCGTTTTCGGATGCCATGGCCCTTCAGACGCGCAAGGGTTTTGTGGGTCCGGAGCCCGGATGTTGGTACCGCCGCAAAGCGAACGAGGTCGGTAGGTCCGGTCTCCTGGTCTCCCCACAGCCGTGGAAGGTTCGTGTTGGGGAATGACATGAGTTCGGACGCTGGGGTACCGGGTACACCACTTCTTCCAGTTGCATCGACCCGTCCACCTCCTCCCGGTGGAGGGAAAGCAGCTGCAACCCAAAGGGCTAGGCGTGGGACGCGTTTGACGCGTGTCCGGGCGCGGCGTGATGGTCCATCCGACGGAGGGTCCCTCCAAATGTGGATGTGGGCTGTTGAGCCCCTTGTTGAAACAAGTGTTTTCCTGTACAAAGCAGCAGGTGTTCCATGTTCTTCATGCTTGTTGGAGAGGGTTCAGCAATCGTTTTCCACGGCTTCATTTTGACTTGCATTATTTTTTGTGGACACTAGTGTATTGTTATCATTGTTTTATATATTTTATTGGAGTATGGAATGTGGTATAATATACGTAATATATCGTAATATATATATATCAATATATCTTTGTATTCCATATTTTATGGACCGTTTTTTTCAATAAGGGAGCGTTGAGACACAGCCCTGGTGCTCTCCAGTGCGAAGACTTCGGGCTCGTTACAACACGACATGCAGCGGTTCGGTTCGCGCGGTTTGTATCGATCGCGGTTCGATTCGCTTCACGGTTCTTTCTCTTTTGTACATAGGTATTATATATATATATCATACATTCTACATTCATACATATATATATATATATTGTTATATGAATGTAGCATGTATGATATATATATATAATTGTGTATACATGTATATATATATATATTATACCAAGGTTATCATCAAGGCCTCCATGGCCTGAGATCAGAGAACAAATACTTCTTAGAGGCCACCAGACAATCTTGCATGTCTTACATAAACACCTTTAGCCTTTAGACAGATGCATTTCTGTACTGGAGACACTCCCCCAAGCACTGTCAAAGGAGTCTCAGAACCAGCAGACCGTGGTTCTCGAAGGTGTTCTTCGGCCGACCAGAAAGGCTTCACCGGATCTATTCTTCTCTATCTACAGGACCCACATCAGACGAGAAAGTGTTCTGAAAACAGCAAATCGTCCATCTCAGCGGTGGAAAACCATCCAAACGGACCCTAAACCGTTTTCCCAACCGTTTCCCCCACAAAGAACTCAAACACAGAGCTTTTGTTGGGCCAACAGCTATCAGCTCACACAAGCATCGCTCACGACTCGGAATAAACTTGCCCGCTCTGCTGTTTCGACCGGAACAGCTTTTGCTCCAGGTGTTTTGGAGCAACTCTTTGACGCAGATGCCTGCCGGGCACCTTGGGACGGTGGGACTGCCGCTGTTCCGGCGCCTTTTCCATCGGTAGACACCGGAGCGACACGTCTCATGAGACTGGAAGATTGAAGCTGGGGAGTGGTGGATTTCAGGGGCGTGCAGGGGTCAATGGATGCAAGTATGCCATCATATGCCCAGGCCGATGGAGTGTTTGGGATATACAGTGGGACGGATTGGACATGAATAAACCTTGGTATGCGATCTGCGCCCTCGTTAGAAGGCGCCTCTCGCCCAGAACGGTAGAATGTGCTCCGTTCAAATGTGGGAAGCGACATGATCCACAATGTGTGTGTATCTATGTGCCCCAGGGCTCCAGTCGTACCTCCTCAAAAGGTGTTTGGACCCTCCTGGCACCCACCCCAGTCCCACATTCGAAACGAAGGTACGACTGGAGCCCGTATCGGGGCGGATCAATTTGGTCTTGAGGTCCTCCACCTCACCTGGGGTTCTTTCATATCCTGTTTAAGGACCAGAGGTGCAACTGCAGGGTGGAAGCTTTCGAGGACGGAGCAGTTACCAGTTGTATCACCACTTACTTGGGACCCATTTCGGTACAGAATCGGGCGCCGTGGCGCTCGAATGTGAGGGTTGAATGCTCGGATGATCCACCCAAGATCCAAGGATGGAGCAAGCTGGAGGTGCCAAGTACGTGAAAAGCTTCCCAAAGTGGATGAGAGAGGAAAACGGATCAAGACTCATTGATGGGAGGATCTGTTCATGTTGTTTCAAGCCAGTGGCAGCTTGGCTTGACCAGTGGATAAGTATATACCAGCCGTCACTCAAGGCCAAGTCTCGCAACAGAAAACCACCACAAATTATCACTTGGGGGAGCTCTTATGTTGGTCGGTAAAGTAAACCGTAAAGCATTTGGATAATATATTGACAGCTATTACACAAACATCATGATTTTCCGTGGGGTATGACGGATTGTATATATATATACAGGTTCTTGTTGCTCTACTCTCTTGTTCTGAGGGCACCCTTGGTGTTCCCACGCCGCTCACTGATCAGTTGTCCAATTCAGGCGGCCTCTACAAGCGATGTGCGGAAGCAAGGTCAGGCTGCAGGGATGACAACAGGGGCCCTCCCAAACCCATCATAAAACACTAAGACATGCATACAGACTTCTTCTATTGGGTTTTTGTTGATTCTCCAAATCACACGCCCTTCCGAAGTTCTTCTGGCGCGTTATTCTTGTCAAATAAGTGGCAAGTGTTCTTTGTGCTACTACCAGTAGTTAGCACCAAGTTTCCAGGTTCCAGCATCAGTACCAGCCCCAAAACGCGAAAGGACAGGTGAATGGTGCTGACGAGAATAAAGAATCAGTGAGGGATGAGTGGAATGAACACACCATTACTTATATAAGACGTGTAATTACTGTTCAGAGGTGTTTGGGAAGGGCGAACTCAGACACGCTTCGTGTTGCGTGCAAAAAAAAGACGCTGCACGGTAGCCACAGTCGCACGGTAGCCAGAAGAGTCAGCATGGAGGCCAATGGATTGTCATTTGGACGTCGCACCTGAGTCGGTCACGAGAGTACATGATAATATATCTAATATATCTAGGCGAGGACAGCAAAGAGTGCAACATCCAGCATGTGGCAAAGGTCGACATTTGGAAAACGACACATACACAGAGATACACGTCTCCTTGAAAAAGGTATCTAAGTCTAAGAGGTTCGATCTCCATTCTTTCCTTCAGAAATGTTCCACATGGCCATACACTTTCCTCCCCATGCCACCAAAAAGAGGTCTCCCCCCGAAAAAAACAAAAAAACAAAAAATAATCCTTTTCCTGCACGTCCTCGCGGGTTCCACGGAACTCCGCGTTCTCCGGGGTTCACGGCCTCGGCAGCTTCGGCGAGCGGAAGAAAGCGATCCTGCAGACCCGCCTGGACGGGCTCCTTCAGGCAGGTCGCTGCTCCGCTCCGTCGATCCGTGTGCTTGAAGCAGCAGCCAGGTGTTCACGTGGTCATTTTTGTTGGTGTCCAACTTCAAGCACACCGGTGGGTATTTGGTGGGTTCTTTTCGTTGGTGAGCACTTTTGGAGGCGGTTTACCCCCGGTGGGTTTGTGGGTGTGGGAAGGGTGTGGGGAAGATGCAGAGGAAGAAATCAATGGTCCAAAACAGATGTTCTTCCAGAAATCATGGTAGGGGATTGGGTATTAGGATGTGTTAGGTGTCTTTAAGGGACATGGTGAAGCTAACTTGCTCCAGAATCTTGGCCCAATTTTCACACGTACGATGGGTTTTTTCAGGGCACGTGCGTTTCAGGCACGGACCCTGCACTACCTTAGTAAGAGGAGTCTCCGCTGCAGCAATTTTTCCTATTGTTTGATCGTGTTCGTCAACCCCAACAATGGCTCTCTTTTGGATTGGAAGATGAAGGTGACCTGGATTTGATGTATTACTTGTCATTAGAGATTAGAGTTCAAAGACTATAAAAAGAATGGTCTTTAGGTGACCCGAAAAGGAATTTCCTTTACTTTAGTTGGTCAAAATATAGTCTTTGGGCTTCTAGGGTTAGGGCGATGCTTTTGTGTTTCGCCATGTTTCGCCAAGGCCCACGCAACTAGACTGCTGGCAAGCAGCCTAGTTCTAGAAGTGTTTGTAGTTTAGTAGCATTTTGAAGACTCGAGTCTCCAAATCTCCATTCTTCCTTGGGACGCCCCCAGAACACCAGCCAAATCCACACCACGCACTGAAAAAAGCGTCCACGGAGGACCTGTTCTCCGCGCACGACCTCAACAAGAATGGGCTTCTCGAGGAGTGTCGACCCGTCCGCGTGACGGAGCAGTTGTTGATGGTGCGGCAAAGAGAGATCAAGCCATTGTCCTTGTGGGCGGCCGCTGGCGCAAGCCAATGCTCGGTGTGCTGGTTTTTGGATCAACGAACCTTTGATCAACTCCATCCTGTCCCAATTGGACACCCCATGACACCCCTAAAGTACCTGCCTTTCTCAGACTTTCTGCACAAACTGGTCTCATTTGATTCCACCCATTGTCGGGCTTAATGGTCGAACCGCGACCTCTACGCTGGACGCGGCAAGAATTGTTACGAGACTCGCATGGAGTCAAGGACTCGGTTGGAACCACATCAGTTCTGTGTCGGCCTAACCGCACTACCTAGCGACAGAAAAGCAGAGGATCTTAAGAGTCACCAGAAACGGGAGAGGCTATGACTGCTTTGCCGCCCACTCGTGCAGCTTAGCTGGATCCTTTGACCCTGCGTGACCCTGCGTGACCCTGTCTGCCTCCATCTCACTGCAAGTGCGTATCAAACTTGGTTGCTAGTCGTCTGCTAGTCGTCTCACCACCGCAGTACCTCACCCGGAAAGTTGGAAGGTTCAACAGAACGAGAAGTGATGGAAAGCGCTCAGCATTTGTGACATACCATGGACGCCAGGGCTGATTGACTGCGGAAGTGATGCAGGACTTCTGGCTGTGCATGGCTGATTGACTGCGGAATGATGAGCGAACTTAGAAGCCAAGGTCCGAGCAGCCTTTGCCCCTGCTTGATGGTAAGGAAACAAAACGACTTTACAGCATCAACGCGCCGTGAATGGGAGAAAAAGAGTATTCCACAATGAGAGTCTCCAGGATTTCTGGAGATCATTACGAGTTTGCTACCAGCAACTGACACTGTACCACCACGAGCACCTAAACCGTCTGTGAAATTCTGTACTGGATACAGATGGATGCAACTTGTGTTGCTCTACAACCAATTGAAAGACATTGCTTTCCAGGACGCTTTCTACAACCAATCGCAATTCCGGGAGCGACCAGAATGTTTGTTTGCCATGGGGGAGAGAGACAAGAATGTGATGACAGTGTGGGTGACTTGAGCGGTTCCCGGGACGGCACGGGACACGGGCGAATCGGTGCGCGTTCCTGGTGAGCCCAATGGCGAGCAGCAAAAGAGTGGTAAAGAGATGGACGCCAGGGATGACTGGGGTACTCATATATGATGAAGTCCAACTGAGCACGGGATGTTTTTCAGCATGGAAAGGTTTGGGGATGTGTAGGTCTTTGACTTCGGTTTGTGGATGTTTGTGGGTTGCTTGGACAATGTGGACATCCATAGTCAGTGAGATTCACAAGTTGGATTTGCCCAGGTATGTGTCATTGGATGTCATTGGTCTAGCTTATATTAGCTTATACTTGCTTGTTGTTTTGATGTGTTTAAATCTACCACGATCGCTTACAGCGCGGAAAAATGCGAAGGAGTTGGAACTGATTCAGCTCAACAAGAAGATCGTTTTGTGGCGCTGGCATTTTGGGACAGATGGAACAGAGATGGATGAGGATGACCCAGGACCATGATGGTGTAAAGAGTGAAGAGAATGGTGCAGACGTGAAGGTGCAGACGTTCTTCTTTTCATGTGCAGGCTCCTTGGGGCTCCTGACCAGAGATGCTGCTTGAAAGACCGTCTTGGGAAGGGGTAGAGCATGGAAGGACATTCGGAAGACGGTTTCTTCTTGGCTGTCAGAGTGGTCTCTCCAGCATGCCAGGACTGATTTCAAATCGGCTCGTTATTTTTAAAGCCAAGAGCAATTGAATTGCTCATAAATCTCATATAGTTCCTCATTTCCGGTCCCATGGAGTGTCAGTCTGGGTTTGGGTTTTGGTTTCTGGTGATCTGTCTCAGCGACCCACGCCAGGCTGCACCAGGGCCGCAATGCCGACATGGATGCCGTGAAGGAGAAGTATCAGGACAACTGGAGCAGTTTCTTCCGTATTGCGCCGGGAGCACCATACGTGACGGCGTCACGTAACTGCGCAATCCCGCAGACATGATCTTCAACCGTCCAATCTTCATCCATCTTCTCCACGAAAAGGCCTCACAGGGTCCTACGGACCGGGTGTCCACCCGGTCCGACGGATGTAGGGTGAGGTCTTGACCCACAGACGGTGACCGAAATTTAGGACGTGATTGAATGAAGAAAGCATTAAAGGGTATGTTCAAAGGATCCTCACTGAAAACACTCGGTACATAGAACCCATTGTTCACCTCTGGACTCTGATAGGAAACGACCATGCGCCTCCAGGAAAAAAGGGGTCAACGCACCGCTGCCGTCGACCTCGTCCAGGACCTCTTCCGGCGAAAGTTGGACGCGGCAGGGAAGGCAGTGCCGTTCAGCGTTTTCAAGGCTTACATGCTCCAGGCCGGGCCTAACGGGACCGGATGGGCGTAGGGTCTGGATGGGTCTGGGGATAAGTCCGATGGTGAGCCTTTCGGAAGGGCCATGATGACACATAATGTCTCATGCATGCGACAGGTCACAGAAAACCATCGACTGAGGTGCTTGCCATACGCCAAAAAGGCCGACGAGTGCAGTTTAGACCTCCCTTCGGTGTGGTTTGGAAGATGGAGAACACAGCAAGTCTCGGCTGATCACCGATCAGCCAGTGCACGGGTTTCTGAGAGCTGGAAGCTGGTTCTCTCGTTGTTAGCTTTGGCTGGGTTTTTTGGCATTATGACGTGGAAACTGAACTGACCCCTGACGGTAGTTCCTGAAAGAACATGGTTCTTGCTACCTACCTTTCGGGGGCCAGCGCGGCATCGCCGCCTTAGATGGCTGATAGGTCGGTTCAGTCCGGAGTTGTTGGAGATTGGATTGTGAGACGGCTGAGTTTGTGATGTGGGTAATGTAGACTGTCGATGAGTTTAAAAGCATATTAGAGGTTTCACACTCCAACTGGAGGGAGTTCATTCATCAACAGTCTACACTGGCAGTCCTCTCTCAAGGAGATGACTTCATCGCCAAGAAACATTCGCGGGTCAGTTGCTGCTGTGGACGATTCGTGTCAGTCTTTTTGGAATCATATTTTCAGGGACTCTCAGGGTTAGTCTCGTCTACATGTCTATAAGTCCCCCCCGTGGAGGTGAATTTGAAGAAGAATTGCCATGGGCAAGAGCTACACCTGGAGAGTCCCGCATGATGTCAAGAGTCAAGAAGTATTTGTCCCAACTTGGCCTGATTCACTGATTCTTACAAGGTCCATCACATTCCATCACCTTCTCTGGAAAGAAAACGTGCCATCCAGGACTGTCCCAATCGGTTGATGGCAGGTCCTTGCCGATGTGGATCCGGATCCCTGCGCGCAAGAGATGATGCTGGAGCTGGGAGTCCCCAGGATACGGGGCTGAGAGCCTGGGAAGACAGGGTTCTGAAGATTCCTTAAGGAGGTTGGGCGGTTTCACCTACACTTGGGACATCACCTGTACAAGATCATGTGCTGTTTGGCTGTTATGTTCATCGTTTCTTAGCTTCTACATGACACGTTTGATCGACACCGAATCGCACCCTTCAGTTTCTGAGACTGAAAATGCAGAATACAAGGGTTTTGTTTTGTTGTTAAAGTGAATGTGTTCGAGAGGCACATCATTCCATCATCCTCTGAAGGTGTCATTCAAAACGCAATCCTTTTTCGTCTCCGATTCTTGTATGGCTTGTCAGGCAATGGATAGTGGAAGCGCAAGCAGCCTCTTGGATGAAAGCTATGGGTGGCGTGTTTGAAGAGTGGACGGAGTACGGAAGAAGAGTGAGCGTTTGTGGATGTTCGTAGTGTTTTTTTTTTGTTTGAGGGCGCAAGTTTGACTTCAGCAGGGGCACACCCCCTCGGTTTCTCTCTAGATCCTGTTTTGGGGACCAGGATCCTTGTGCCTCTAAGGAACAACTGGGATGATGACGATTGCCTTATGAGTCATATGAGTCTGTCAAAAAGTCCGCACGTTCTTCCTCGTGAGGCTCGAGTGATGTTCCACATGCCCTCAGTGACAAGCGTGACCGCCAGTCGCCTCAGAAGATTCAGCTGTGTTGCGTTGGAATGGCGAGCTCTAAGAAACATCTGAGATTTAAGAAATACATGTCCAATCGACTGAGCAGCCACAGAGAGGGGGTTCAGCATGTTGCGTTGATCAAAGGCAGGCGGCCGTGTCCATAGTGAGTGAACCTCGATGACTAAGGATTTGCCCTTCTTGTCGACCATTTCCTTTGACAAGGACGATCTGCCGGCCAGCCCCAGCCCCAGCAACGTGAGAGTTCGGAAACAGAAAAACGGAGAAAGCATGGGCATGGGGGCAGCGCTAAGAAATTAAATCTGAGGGTACCTACTGAGTTGAAAATTAATATATATATATATACTGTATGTGTCGATTATTTTCTAGAATATGACATATTGTGTTTCAAGAGGTTTGCTGGAAATCATGAATATTAATTTTGGCAATGCCCAGTTACTTGAAGGGTGCTGGATTAATTTTGACACTTGTTCGGCATTGTTCGTGTACGCTCGCGGATACACAAATCTTGAAACTGCGGCCATGGAAGAGATCTTGTTTGAAAAAGGGGGTGCAACAACTAAATGAATCTCATATATGTCTACATTGGTCAACGCATGTCAACGCAATAGATTCAATACACTCATGCATGTGCCTGCCAAGCTGCACAGCATACATCCAAAAGCTGCCCCTGGGGTGGGAGGTTGTCAATATAGCATTTCCTATGAAATTAGTCAAGGGGTCCCCTTGATTAATTTGATATTTTGATAGATGGGGTGATGATGAGAGAAGTGCTTGCCCCTTTTGTAAAAGTGGGATCCCCAACCCAACAGACCATCGCTACTACCATCCCTTCTCTTGGCCCTTTCTTGTCCTCTCCTGGCCTTTTCATGGCATTCATCCCCTCGAGTCGCTGTTTGTCCACTGCATGAGCATTTGAGCTTTTTGGAAAACTAATTGAGGGTTTCTAAATTGATGGTGATTTGGAACTGGGGAACCCCTTGATAAATTTATGGTTGCGGGGATGATGAGAGAAGTGCGTGCCCTCCACTCAGGAGTACGGGCAAGAAAAAAACAATATTGATTGATGGGTGTTTGAGATGTGTATGACTGTTCATTTAAATCTGTGCTTTTGCAGCTGGTTGTTTTTGATCAATTCATGATTTGCAGACTCTCCTGATCAATTATGAGAATTGCTACTCTAGGTACCCCTAATTAATGTTACCAGCAATTGTCAGAATTGAATTGATTTTCCTTCTGGGTTCCTTCTGGGATAGTGGTAGTTCTTTTATAGATTTTATTGGGTGTTTGAAAGAAATACATGATTAATGAACTGAGGTCCCCATCATTAAATGTATTGTTTTAATTGACCAGTACCCCTGGTTACCCCCCTGCTAACGCACGGCGCATGAAAGAGCGGGCGAAAGCACCTTGACTGTTTGGGGAGGGCAAGGGTTTCCGCATTGTAGGTCTGAATCGCAAATGTAATGTACAGGAAGACTGTTGTTTGAGTCAGTATTTCCAACAGAGGTTGAAGAACCCTATAGGCCTATAGGCTATCCCAGTTCGGTACCCCAGGTGACGGGTCCTATAGGGTCACTTGACCTCTCTTGGTTTGCCTGGGTTTGAGCGCATTGCACTGAGTCTCAGCCAGATTTCCACCAAGGAATTTGGAGACATGGGGTCGAATCTTCCCAGTGAATAGGTATCGAATCGGTGGGCATCTCCATGTCAACCGTTGGTGAGCCATTGTTCTTTGTTTAGTTAGTTATCAAAGCCACATCAGTAATTACTGACATGATCAGTTTCATGGTGCTGTTTGCGTGGCTTCGATGGACTGCAAATGGATCTGCAGCAAGGACACAGATGCGCGTGGCAGCGGTAGAAACCTTACAACCACAAGCAGCAGGCAGCCATTTAGGTTGGAGGCCGTCGCTCTTAGGTTTGAGGCCATCGCTCTTAGGTTGGAGGCCGTTTCTCTTAGGTTGAAGGCCATCGCTCTTAGTTGTCCGGCGCCTGGTACACCACACGCCGTCTCCGAGGCCGCACCTCCATCGAGACGACCTCCACCACGTGAGCGAGCGCCTGTATTGACGGGGAAAACCGGTGGGGAACGCACCAAAAAGCCCATCTGAGTGATTATGGCAGAACTCTTCGAAACATGTTTTTTTGTTTTATTTGTGGTGTTGGGTTGCTTGGCGTTGTGACCTGGACATTTTGGTGAACACTTGGAGCCCTAAACCCTGGTTGACCTCCTTCATGTTCATGCGAGATGAAGAACCTGGCAACAGTGAAGAATCGGTTCAGTAAAGAATACTAGCAACACATGGAACGCTCATGGTCAGCATAGTCTGGTGCAGGTGATACATTGATCGAACATGGACAAGAAGATGTCCCAATCATTCAAGCGCTCCATCGTGCCATAGTTCAAGACCCACCAGCCAATCCCAAGATGAGCAAGATGGAAGACCGACAGAAGTTATCCAGGGACATCAGGACTGCCTACCAGATATTTGTTCAAAGCATTGTGGCTGCGCAACGACGTCCTCCACGGGAAAGAACGACCTCCTCCAGTCATAGACCCTCCTCGAGTATAAGCAAGGAGTATGGCAGCCCCTCGGGGCCGAGGATACAAAATTGACGTGTTCAAGACATGGGAAGCACATTGGTCACGTTACCTTCCCTGTGCTTTGGGTACAAAGACCGGTTGAGAGACCGGGTCTTTTTTCGGTACAGAGCTTTTGGAGTTGCATGAGCGAAGGCTGATGGCGAACCGAAGCTTCAAGGTGAGCATGGAGTAAGTTGGCAAACTTTGACATTTTGGTGCCAATGTCGGTCCGGCAGTGGAAGATAACGACCACATATTGGGCCCTGCAAACCACACTGATTCAGACCAAAGAATGATCGTTTACTCCAATCAAAAGCATCCACAAGCAAGCGCATGGCTGCCTCCTGCCAAGTCGTGCGTGTATTTTTCCATAGGAAATGATGATGAAAACGGCTCGAACTTCCTTCCTTTCAAGTGTGCGCAAAAAGGCTTGCGAGAGTGACCAGCATTGGCGGCCGCTCCATCATTTCGGATCCCCGGATGTTTGATTGGCAAGAACATTGATGAGATTTGTGCTGGCATCAAGGATGCGGTGCAGCTCGTAAAGAGCAGCGGAGCTGTCCTTTGGAAGACTCAGACTCCGCAAGAAAAAACACTTTTGGAGAGGCTTTGGAGAGGATCATTGACGCGAGCGTCACTGACTTGCGTCACTGATTTGCAGACTTGAGCCGTTTCCTTGAAAAGCTCCCGAAGAAGTCAAAATCAGCAGGGCGACAAAGACGGCTCGAACAGTCCGCTTTGGAGCGACAGCTCGAAAAGTCTGCTGACCGCTGGTTGTTCCGATGATTCAGTTGACAAGACCCTATTCGATGTCGATAATGGCATTGAAATTGGACAGAGAACACACACTCATTGAAGACGCTTGGCTGGAATTGGAGCTGCTAGGTGAGGAGTATACAGACCTGAGTAGCTTTCTACGCTGCTTGGAGCAAGATCCTTCCATTGTGTATTCAAAGAGCTCTCTCTGCGCTCAGGGGAGGCCTCATGCCCGAGCTTGTGCGACCCATTGTGGTTACATTTCAGGAGGAGGTTGCAAATGGTGTCTTTCAAGAAGGTCAACTTGGGCGACTTGAGGTATTTGGTGCATCTCCAGGAGTGGTACCCAAAGTATGCAGATAGAAAGGAAGGGGAGTGAAATAGACTCCCTCACGCTGCCCACACACACACACACTTGCACTCGTGGTGCAAGACTTGGATGTTGTAACACTTCCAGAAGGTGATCGGTGATCGGAAGAAGATCGCCACAAATATCAATCAATTTTGTGAAGTCCTCAACATCTGTGGGCGAATCTGTTTTGTGCCTAGGAGCCAGTGGGCGACTTTCTAGAGATGTTCCAAAGGAGCTTGCAGCACGGCTGAAATTATGGATCGACAAGCAGCGACCAAGTGGGAAACACGGATGGAGCATTGCACAGGGACCGATTCGCCGCTTCACGCAGTTCCACTTCGGATTCTGCACCTGGTGCAGCACGTGGAGAAGCTGCGTGTGTCACGCAGCAGTCATGTGGCGTCGTTGTGTTCAAGTTCGTGGAAAGGAGAGGTGACTCCTGGCTAAGCCCAGGAAGTGGCGAACTTCAATGCATGCTACCAGCATTCAATCACGAAAAGGACAACACGAAAATACAGAAGGTTGCCAGTTTAGCACATGACACCTTTATCTATATATATATATAATTATATATATATACATGTGCCACCAGAGGTCCAAGCTCTGTTCATTTTGCTTCGAGAAGCAGATTCGCAGTTGATGGGGGAAGAATGGGCACAAGTTGTCGTTAGCACCAACCAATGCCTCAAGCAGCTCAAGTTTGTGCTGGTCAGGTCATTGCCTGTCAAGACAGATACTTGCAGCAGTGATGCAAGTTCGCTCTTGGTTGAAAGCGTCCACAAAAGTCTTAGACCTGTGGGTTGTTGGGCACCAGTTGCTTGCACTTTCTGCGATTGAACATTGCACAGCAAATCACAACAAAATGTTGTCAGAGATGTTCAAAGGTTTGGATGTTGCGGCAGACATAACTCTGGTCAATCCCTTACCAACTGATTTAAGGTCTTTCCTCCGCCGCAGGTCCAAAGCAGCCTGCTGTGGCCCTTTTCTGGGGCCTTTTGACCCACCGGTACTTTGATATTCCTCTTAGGCCCCGTGAGCTTCAACCGTTGTCTTGGTTAGAATCGATCTATCTACTCAGTGGTTTACATCGTCACTGACTTGCGAGAATTCGTTTGGAACGCAAACATTGCCAGTAAACTTGCCCGAATTTTTGGTGGAAACCATGACCATGCCTCGCATGCCTCGCCACGTTCCGAGCCCTGCGCAACCAGTGGTTGAAATTTTGGCCCATACCCACCGTCCATTGCACCCCAGGACCTTGGTTGACCATAGTACGGATACTTGCGGTCTTTGTTTAAGCGCTTCAACTGCGTATCGAGGAGTGTCCGGAAACACCTTATGTACACCTATGTGTAAACAAGAAGACTCTTGATCCCATGGCGACCGGCCATGTTGCTTCCCCACAGAACACATTTTAGAGCACCATGGTGATCCTGTTGCCGAAAGCCCTTGTTTTCCGATGAAACGCTGGCCAGGGCTTCCATGCAGCCGCCGAAGAATGCCGGGTTTCCTCGTGCGGGTGAGACAGGTTTGGATCACAAAGGTTGCAATGCAAAACATGTATTTTCTATTATTTTCTAGTTGTTTCGTGGAAGATGTTTGCCT